AAACTTTTCTGAACAGCCCTATCTCAAGTAAACATTATTAATAACTTTATATTCATCTATATTATTTAATTTATAGAAGTGGCAAATTGGTGACCCTTGGGGAGAATCTTACAAGTTTTTTCTTTGACTGGACATTTGAATTCATTGCCAATATTTACAATTCACATTTCATATTGTTAAAATCTAGATTTCTAGTTCCACTTGAAAATTTGGGAGATTTAGGAATCCTAGACCCATGTTTCCATCAAAACAACATGACTGAGCTAAACAGTGGCTGTCCTCTTTATCCTGAGCATTTATGTTTGCAAATATTTATAGAACACCTACTGTTTCTGGCACTAGGTATAGGGTAGTGCAGTAGTTCCCCCTTATCTGTAGGGATGTATTCTAAGACCCTCCCAGTGAATGCCTTAAACCACAGATAGTACCAAACCATATATATATATAGTTTTTTCCTATACATACATACCTCTGATGGAGTTTAATTTATATATTTGTATATTAAGCACACTAAGAGATTAACAATAACTAATAAAATAATTTTATTATAACAATATACTGTAATAAAAGCTCTGTGAATGTGGTCTCTCTGATAACCGAGACCTCTTTACTAAGTGACAGGTAGCATATACAGAGAGGATATGCTGGACAAGAGGATGATTCGTGTCCAGGTGGGATGGGGGAGTAAAGAGATTTCATCATGCTACTTAGAATGGCACGCAATTTGAAACTTATGTTGTTTATTTCTGGGATTTTCCGTTTAATATTTTTGACCACAGGTAACTGAAATTTTGGAAAGTGAAACCACAGATAAGGGGGGACCACAATATACAAAAATAAAAAATTAACTGCCCTCACAGCGCTTACTTTCTTGTATGCTCCACTTGTATCACATCCAGCCCTTTTCCCTGTCTAACCTCTTATGCTCTGCATTTCCTGTCAATGTCCTATCTGTCTCTAAAAATGTCAGTCTCTACTAGGATTCACATGAGAACTAGTCAAAGAATGGCTTATTTCTAGAGAGATACGTTTTATTTTAAAAGGACTAAATCTTATGCAGTGTCAAAACAGCTCCTTTAGCTTTCTTGCTATTTCCCAAGAAATAAAATCATTACTGCTTTGTAAAATATTTTCAGTGGCATATGTAGTATTAGAAAGTCACATTTAAGATAATGCTGTATGTCTACTAAGACAAGATTATGACTTACTACTTAACAGTAAATAGTGCTGTTAAACCAAAATACTTAAAAGGCATACTGTCATCTATTGAGCAAGTTTGCAAGTGACTGCTTTGATATGTAAGGGCCCTTAGGATCTCCTAACCTAGCACCCTGCTTTTATAGAGTAAAAAGACCAAAAGTAGTGGTTACTATCTAGAAATAAATTTGAGGCCCCACCTCAGTCCTTACATCAAAATTAATTCCAGAAATATCAACTATTTAATACTTTTTAAAAGAAAGCAGGCTTTTTTTTTTTAATTGGGGTATTGGGAAGGTAACAGCACTGGGGAATTGGGGGAAGGGGAACAGACAAGTTGCTGTCATTTTGTTCTTCAGTCTAGTTGTGGAGGACGTTGCTTCACTGGCCCAAG